ATCATTATTTGACCCTCTTTTACACCGACTGCACCAATTCCCATCACTTTAGCTTTGCTTGTTGAACAGGTGCAATTCAAAACAATGTGCTGAAAATATCAGATAGATAACCTACTTTAGTTGTACTGTAGCACCCATTGCCACTCCAGCACACTTAAATATGTAACATCCATCCATCTGCTAAACATTTCTTTCTGTATGCTAATAGACTCACTTCCATTGTCATCTAGCTGTTTGGAATTGTGCCACTGATCCTTTTCCCAAAGAACAGAAAAATGAAGAATGTGTATGATTTTAATTAGGTGTGAGCTCCAAATGTAGTTTGCAAAGGCCAAAGAGAGATGCTGCTTGTGAACAGATCAAGCATCAAGTATTATAGTTTATGCAATTACATAGCTATAGGGGGATCCTATTTGTTCTACATGTATCAGTTAAGATTTTTTCCAATGATAGCTATTAATTTGGCTGGGAGAAAATGGCATAATTTTAGACAAAATGTCTTGAAATAAAAACTGGACTAGAATGAGCTTATTTAGCCAAAGGATAAAAAGAACTACTCAGACTGAAGCACATTGATCTCTGAATCTTTGAAGCATATCTTAATGTTTGATTTAATGTACTCATTTCAGCATAGTCTTTATTTCCAAGGCAGTTGGTAAAAAAGACTAGAACTCATCTCTTTATTTCCAAGGCCTTTGGTAAAAAAATGGATGAGTTCCCCCATCCAGGCCATTAAAGTAGAAGTTATCCTTGGATGAAAATTTCATTTTTAGCATATCAATCATATTAGGCCCGTTCACGTCTGGAGTTCAAGGCCACTTTTAACACACTTGGAGATAAAAAAATTGAATTTTGTAAAATTTCATGAAACATCAAGTTCAGAGTAATTTGAGATTTTTGATAAATTTGTAAAATTTTAATTATAAATGTCATTAAATTTGCCTCAAATTTCAGACGTGAACCGTCCTTTTATAAGCAAAGAAGTATCACTTCTATTTTATTTTCCCAACCATAGGAGAATTCAAAATTGACATTCATATATCCACACATAAAAGTTAGAATTTCACTGTCTTTTCCACTCATCCCTATAGAAACTTTTTAAAATGTCTTTCTTATTCTTTCTAATCGCTTTTCATGAGACCAGATTATAGTATCAAGTAGCATGTCTTTTGTTGACTTATCACACTTTTGTAGTCCACAATAAGTAGTAGAGTTTTTCTTCAACTCATGACTCTGAAATATCTTCTTCTTCTTTTTCACTATTGTGATTGCGGCATTCTGAATATTCATTATTCAAACCACATTTTGATTGTTGTGTATGCAGTCTGTTTAACAAACTGATTACACATGATAATTAAACTCGTCAGTTCTTTCCTTCATTTTTTGACCCTTGAACTGTTCCAACAAAAATCATTTTGTTGCCCAAAACTTCTCTTCAAAAAATTTCTCCCTCTCATTGGCTATAATTTCTTCAATAAATCTACAACCCAGCCATTCAAAAGAAAGTAAATAATTACTGAGAGAAAAACAGGCAGAACTAGAGAATAATAGTTCAGTGAGACAATAATACAAAACAGACAGAACAGTAGAAAATGACCAAAATAATACTGTACTAGAGTACCACATGGTTGAGCACAAGAGACAGAAACAGAAAAGGAAACAAACCAACAAAAGCAGGGACAAGGGGCTAAAACAAGGAAAATGATTATAGAGAATAAAGAACAGAAAAAATACAAAGAGAGAAAGAAAGATAAGAACTCAGAGATGGGAAAGTTTAACAGTTCCAGTTAAAAAGTGGGAGAATGTAGATGATTTGGAACAGTCATATATATTTGTGGGAGGAGTTGTGAGGGGAGCCTAATCTGTTGAGACAAAGTCACAATGCTAGGAGTAGCTTATCTTCTGAGAGGAAAAAAGTCACTGATGCCTTCCAAATAGGTAGTGAAAGTGTATACAATGGAGTACAAGCTAACAAGTGCTATCTGGTTGGCAAATAGTTGGTATGTTTCACACTGAGGATCAAAAGATAGCTTCACCCAAGTATCCTTTAAATACTAATTAGGCACTTGGGCCAATTTGTGGTCATCTTATTGCTTGGGGACAAGGAATAAGATGGAAATAGTAGAATCATCCATCAACAATTGGGATGAGAGGCACATCACAAAGTGTTATTCCTTACTGCACCACAGTATATTTATTAATTCATTATCCTGTTTGTGCCTGCACTTTATCCTATTCAATTCTAATTCTTTTCTCTTCTTATTAATGTATTTCTTTTTTCATGAAGGGGTTTTAGTTCTTATTGACCCCTGACACTTTTGTGATTTTATAATGCCAATATTTTTGAATGTATGAATTTCAATTTTGAAGACCCTGTAGCCATAAGATACAACTCCTGTTCCATGCATGTCCATAAAGACCAGACTACTCAATTTGGATATCTGAAATTTTTACATTTGATTTACAACAACAAAAAATTATACTCAGCCAAACACTCAAGTTAAAAATCAATTATGCTCAGTTTGGCATGTTTCACTTTTTTTATTGACTGAGTATGCTCAGTCTAGATAAGTTTCTATTTCAGATTGAAATATTACTTTTTTGGTGTATTTGTAACTTGTCTTAGTGGATCAGATGGAGGTCGCTTGGCCCATGCCTTTAGGCCCTCTGCTTCAGACAAGAGGAATCAAGCTGACTTGATAACAAGGAACATATTTCCTTGACAATCCAATATCTTGTATCAGTTTGACAAGGGGAAGTATTCCATGGTGAGCTTGTGTACATGATGTACCAACATTAATTTTGAACAGAGTCCCTTGTCAAACAAACCCCATACCTTTGAGCTTCTGCCAGACACCCAATCGGTCTGTGGCACTGTGGGTTCAATGTAGGCTGGTTGGATAGGGACAGGGTCCACTCTTCAAAGAATGTGGGGCAGTGATTTTGACCTCCTTTCTTCTTCACATGATGCTGTGTGGTTTGTCGTGTGATGTGCCCCGCAGCAGAGGTGATTACGTGATCGGATCGAGGATGTTACGTAATCATCGAATCTCAGAGTCATTTGATGAAAATCAGCAGCTTGACCTTCAGATTCACAGCAAACCACTCTGAAACCTTAAACCATGAGCCAACAACTATCCACCCCAACTGGCTCAAGCCACCAGGACTCCCCCTCAGCAGGACAGTCCAAGCCAGCAGTAGAACCATCCCCAGAACACCACGAACACCATTCAGCGCCAAGAATACCTTCTACGACTACCCAGAGGAGAGGAAACTACAGCAGTGAGCAAGCCAACATCAGATTGATTGATCAGTCCTTGTTTTTTTTGACATCAGCTGATGATGTCTAATCTGCAGAGACGGCAAATTGGGCCCATCATCCATCTGATAATAGTGGCCACCACTACCACTACCACCGCCGCCCCTCCGCACAATAACCTGACCTTCAAGAACGTCGACTCACTCGAACAGAAACTACTCGACCCATCTGCTTCAAACCATACCCTGGCACCCGAATGGTCCAAACAAGCCTCACACTCATCCAGCCAAACCGACCCATTCTACGAGCCACCACAAACTGACCAACCAAATCATCCAAAACCAATCCTCAACGAACACTCTCCACTGATCAACGACGAAGATACCCACCTATCAGAAGAACTCAGGTTGCTCTACGAATCCTTCCAAGCCTGTCTAGACCTAAGAGATAAATACATCGGACTCTCCAAGCAGAGATTGGTCGATAACCCCCAATCCTTCGACTCCAAGTTCATCAATCAATCAACCGCAAGGGGAAACCCACCTGCCCATCCGGAGTGGAAGATCTATCCCCCACCACCCAAACCTCATTGGCGAGCTAACTCAGACTATCAAGCCGAGGAAGCCTGGGACCTACATCCTAGAGACTCGCGTGATCAGTTACAGGATCATCCTGCCTCGCCACGTCTAGAGTTCGACTTTGATGCCTGTAGCTTGCCCGGAAAGGATGACCGTTTCAGATTTGCAATCGACTCACATGGGGTCTATCAAATCTATCATATCAATAGCACTCCTTCTAAACCCAACAACCAACCAGTCTTCAAGATTCCCACCATTCGCGAATATTTCCTAGACTTGGAGTTCGTCTTCGAGGCTATCTCCAACGGGCCTGCTAAGAGCTTCGCCTGGCGGAGGTTAAAATACCTAGAATCTAAATTTAGCATGTATGTCTTGTTGAATGAATATCAAGAGCTTGCAGACATGAAGCGGGTCTCTCATCGGTGAGTCCCTCTCTCTTCTGTTTTCCTTTTTTTTCGACTGAATTGCTCAGATCGCATCAGGTTAGACACATCCATCTGTTTAGTTAGAAAGGGTGACAAATGGTTTGTTTATTAAACGCTCTCTTCTCATCCAATTGGGTATTATGATGTAATAATGTGGAAACACAGAGACTTTTACAACGTCCGTAAGGTCGATACACATGTCCACCACTCAGCCTCTATGAATCAGAAACATCTGCTCCGATTCATCAAATCCAAAATGAAGAAAAGTCCAGATGTTGGTTGTTTTTACTCTACCTCACATCACTCGCTCAACTCAAGCCCGGTTTGTCCACACACATATTGACAGACTTTCAACACGGGATATCACAGGACGTGGTCATTTATCGAGACGAGAAATACCTGACTTTGAGACAAGTGTTTGAGTCCTTGAACCTGACGGCTTATGATTTATCGATCGATACGTTAGACATGCATGCGCACAATGACTCCTTCCATCGCTTTGATAAGTTGAGTCTTTCTAAATCCGTGGGCCAAAGTACTCATTTTTTTTGGGTATTAATTAGGTTCGCTCTTGCTTGCCCAGATTCAATTTAAAGTATAATCCGATCGGTGAATCCAGATTACGAGAAATCTTCTTGAAAACAGATAATCTAATCCAAGGCCGATACTTGGCTGAATTAACGCAAGGTTCATAGCACACATCTTCTCAGCTTATCTGAATAGTCTGACATCCTGGCAGCTCATCTTTGACCCTATTTTCCCTCATTTTAATTATTGCAGAAATCATGACCGACCTGGAATTGAGTAAATACCAACATGCTGAATACCGTCTATCGATCTATGGCCGGTGAATACTCATCTATTCTCAACCTTCACTATTCATGGGTCGATCCCTTTTTCATGCTTTTCCTGATTGGTAGCGATGGCAATCAAACGAGTTCAAATTCTGACCACTTAAACCAAACATTTGAAACGCCCTCATGCAAACACTATCTAGCTCGAAAGATGAATGGGACAAACTGGCTAAATGGGTGATCAACAACAAACTGTTTTCTAACAATGTTAGATGGTTGATCCAAATTCCTCGCCTCTATGACGTTTACAAGCGGAGTGGATTGATCTCATCGTTCGAAGATCTGATCGCCAGTTAGTTTTCCAACTCACCTCCGTGCAGACACATGTAACGCTTGTTTGATTCTTTTTGACGATACTCATCTTCGCAGACGTCTTCCAGCCGTTGTTCGAAGTCACCCAGGATCCCCAGAGCCACCCTGAATTGCATGTCTTCCTGCAACGTGTTGTCGGGTTTGACTGTGTCGATGACGAGTCCAAGCCAGAGAAACGGTAAAGATCCAAACCTCTCGGGACATTAATCAATGAACTGAAAGTCAAGGAGTCCTAACGTATGGGCACGTATTTTCATTTCAGAATATATCGTAAATACCCATTACCAAAAGATTGGTCGACCTCCCAAAACCCGCCGTATGCGTATTGGTTATACTACCTCTATGCGAACATGGCATCATTGAACAACTGGCGACAGGGCCGGCATTTCAACACCTTTGTCCTGCGCCCACATGCGGGAGAGGCGGGAGATCCCGACCACCTGACGGCCGCTTACCTGACCTCGCACTCGATTTCTCACGGGATCCTTCTGCGCAAGGTACCGGCACTCCAGTATCTCTTCTACTTGAAACAGATCGGTTTGGCCATGAGCCCACTGTCCAACAACGCCCTCTTCCTCACCTACGAACGTAACCCTCTGCCACTCTTCTTTCGCACTGGGTTGAACGTGAGCCTCAGCACTGATGACCCGTAAGTCTTCCATCTCGTTGTGTAAATTTATACTTTTTTTTCTGGTTCGAGTAACCTCACTTTTCCCTCTTGCTTTCTTACAGGCTGCAATTTCATTTCACAAAAGTGAGTACTTTGTTCCCTTTTCGACAATCATTTTTACCAATTATTCATCGGTCTGTATTGCCTTTTAGGAACCCCTATTAGAAGAGTACAGCGTTGCTGCCCAAATCTACAAGTTTTCACCAGCAGGTTGAGTTAACCATCAGTTCTATCGTTTATCATACTCTCCCCAGCTTCACTTTGATCAACTAATGATGGTGGTTAACTTTCTGTTCTTGTTACGACCTTAGATATGTGCGAGTTGGCGAGGAATTCAGTCATCCAATCCGGATTTGAGATGGCGATCAAACGGCATTGGTACGCTCTCTTCCTCCCGACCCCTTCACCAAACATCCTCCTCAAAGAAAGATGGCAGGGTTACTTCCAAAAGTTCTGATCAATAACATTCACTCAAATAAATATAACATCTCAGGTTGGGTACTGAGTGGTACAAATCTAGTGTCGAAGGCAACGTGATCCACAAGACTAACGTGCCCAATGGGAGACTTTTGTTCAGACATTCTACTTTGACCGATGAAAGGATGATGGTGTGTTGTGATTTCGAATTACTCCACTTAGGAAAACGAGGGGGAGACTGACTAGGATCCCTGCCAATTTCGCTGTCAGGTGTGGAGGTTTGCCGGACGGAAAGGGGTCCCAAATCAGGAGCTAGAGATCTACGAGATGAGTCACCAAGATCCCATAAAGAAGGAAGATCATCGAGAGGAGAAGGAGGATGAGAGGTCGGATCGAGCACAGGTTTTCCAAGCTGATGAGGCAGATCCAAACCAAGCCGGCTCGAACAATCACCCTGAGAAAATCGTCCGGCCCTCCTCTCCTTCCCGAAAGCCTGGCAATCAACCCGGCTTGACCAAAGACGCTTTGTCTGTAGCCATGGCAGCCATGTCCCTCAAACCAGCCGATATCTCTGCGTCAGTTCCTCATTCCCCTCCATCCTTGATGCGTCGTCAATAATTTGGTTGATCGAGTGTTCTTTTTTTTTTTTTTCGTGCTCGTTTAGCGTTCAGCCTGGCGTCTCACTCTTCCTGGCTGATAAACAACAACATCAACAACAGCAACCCAAAAAATAAAACTCAACTTGGATTCTTCTTGTTTTATTAGCTACACACTTAACAAAAAATTCTCAAAGACTGAATGTATATCAATATATGTATATGGTGTATCAAGTGCGTCTGGGCACTGGCCAAAGTTATGCCAAAATCAGGCCAAGCGCAATGCGCCGATTCCAAAAAGCTTGCGTGGCACATCCTCAACCAAACTCGGCACATGCCCAACCCCTGCTTGGTGCTTCCTAAAGTTTGCAGGAGCTGGACCAAAGCCACACTTGGCTGAGCCCAAGCGAGTGTGCCACACACCCTAAAACCACCCATGCAGCCATCTCACAACTCCCCTTTGTCTACATAGACATGCAGGGGGGAAGAGGTTAATTTTACTCTCGGTCATAATTATGTAGTTTGTAAATTTGTTTTTGATAATAATAAACATGAAATATACTTACATAATAATATAAGAATAATTAAAAATACTTCATAACTTGAAAAAAAACCTATTTAGCAGAAGGAGCTGTCAAGACCAACCTGGTGATTTGCTGGAAGTCAGTCAGTATCTGAAATGGCACACAAGTTACCCTCAAAAGGTAGACTCCTCCCCAGCTACCACAAACGCTAAAAAAAAGAAACACATAAGTAATTTCCCATCATCAACCTTCCCAGGAGATGATGATGAGCACTAAGGAATACCCTGACACTGTGGGCCCTGGCCACGCAAGATTCATCCCTGACAAGCCGCAATGAGGTGTATCCACTTGCCAGGTATGACTTCTCCCCTCCAGAGATTCCACTTGGCAAGCAGCTACAATATGTACCTGCTTGTCAGGAAGATTTCATCCTTGGCAAACTAGGGCTTGCTTGCAAAGGAAGATTCCACAGCAAGCAGTGTCTGAGGTAAGAAGGAAATTCCTCCTCAGCAATCAGGTACAAGTTGTATTTACTTGTTTTCTGGGTAGGATTCTTACTTGTGTCTACATAACCTCAAGCCTGTCGGGCAAGCAGGTCCTAGCAGGTTCACTCAGTCAACTTGGCACACTGATAATTGTCCACACATCAGAATTCCTACCCAGCCAAACGTGTCCCACCAAACTTGCTGGCTAGAGATGTTGCTTCATACCTGCCTCAAAAGTCCAATATTTTGGACACCCGCACCTGCCCGGGCCGCCAGGGCGGGTACCCGGGTACCTGGGCCGGGTACCTGCGGGTGTGGAGGATTTTTTGTAGGCAAATATACCCAGAAATCTCACCCTTGAATTTCTGCATGACTTACTAAATATATGATTGATATTCACTAGATATATGGGTAAGAGCAACATAGAAATAAGGAAATCAAGAAAAACAAACTATTCTATCACTAATTTGCACTTTATCTTCTCTCTGATCTATTGTCTCAAGGGCCGGAGGGTTCCCTCTGGCCGCAACAGTCCCATGTAGGACACCAAATGGTATCCTACATACATGGGTTGCTGACACCTTTGTGCAGCCCAATGAAGTTTTCATTTTGATTTTCATATTGTCACTAGAATGATGTTAGATCATGTGCACCTCGTTCAATCCTGTCTGAGATCAAGAGGATCATATTCTGTCCAACACATTGAAAGCCAATACTTCCGATCCTCTGTTTTAAATGGTTTGTCTGGGAAGGGATGCCTTGCTTAACACCAGGGGGCAATCCCAAAGACAAAGAGAATAGCCAAACATGTTACGACATAGGTCCATGGGCCAATTTGGCAAAATCTGTTCCCTCTTGGTGGGTTTTGGGTGCTCTTTCACTGTTAAAGCCCTCAGTGACAAAATCTGCAATCACCCAGGAGGAATGCAGCTTGTGGACATGCAATCTCATTCAGCAGAGGGGTCAACACTTGATGATGAGAATGTTTGTGAGTTACAATGGTATAGTCTCTTCCACTGTTTCATTCAGTTCCCTTTTTTTCAATGGTGACCACTGTAGTTCTTACATCCCTGTAGAATAGTCATGAACTTGAATCATTTTTTGAACTGTGGTTCCAAGGAGGATTGAAGGAATTCCTCAGAGGTGGGGGGGGGGTGCTAATGAGAGGGGGACATAAGAAGAAGAAGATATGGCTGCAGTGGACAACTGAGGTGGCGATAGAAGTGCAGATTATAGAAATAATCTTGTACCAAGACGTGCGATTGGAGATGCCAAAGGAAGAAAATCAACTAGAAGCAAAGCCATGAAACTAATAGGTTGGATTGGAGATGCAATAGGAAGAAAATGAAATAGAAGCAAAAGTTAGTTGCAACAGGTGTTTTTTTCATTTTCTGGTCACTTTGGACTGCTCTAGCTCGACGATAGCGCCCATTTCATCCGCTTCCTGGGCCCCGTCTTCCATCTCGATCTCCCCATCACTGCCGTCGTGATCCGAAGTTTTCTGACGGTCGGATTTCTTCTTACTCGGTTTATCTTTCTTGAGACCTTTCATCTTCCTGCTTTGAAGCTTGCCGAGCTCCTGCTGGCCGACATGGATCTTGCCCACCTTATCGCCCATCTCATCGATATCCACGTTCTTGTTCCCTTGGGCCTTCTTATTCTCGCCCGCCGGTTTCTTCGGTAGATGCCGTTGGAGAGCTAGTTTGAGTAGCTCTTCCGATGGTCCTTGGGCTCTTCGAAGTCTGAAGTCAAACGAAGGGCCATGAGGTAGGAGCTCGACTCGGGGTTCACGCTGGCCGGATTTGAGAAGCTGGACGAGGTAGGTTCTGAAGTGAACTAGAGGGAGCCCTTGGAGATTTTCAGATAGATTGGTTTGTGATGAGTCCACGAGTGAAACGGGCTTTGGGGTTTTGGGCTTGTCGGTTTGATTAGGAGTTTCATCAGAAGGAGTTGGAAGTGCGGATGGGTCGAGGTTGAGAAGTGAGGTAGTAGTTCCCGGTTGGTCAATTTCGCCGACGCTGACAGAAATCACATACTGTAGACCGTGGACAAGGTCGATAGAATGGATCTCTTGTCCCCTGAAGAAGTCTAGTAAGATTGACTTGAACTGCTTGTATCTTTCGTTTGAATCCCACAAGGTACCGACAAAGTGAAAGAGTGGGATGAGGCCGGGAGAAGTCTTGGGTCCCTTGATATCAGCTAAGGAGACTGCTCCTTCGATTCCGACTTCGACCATATCTAGGACTTCGTGGTCGAACATCCTCACGAACGTCAAGTTGTCCGGTCGTTTCTTGCTATCGCTACCGATTAAGAATAAGCTTGCATCGTTCTTGACCGACCAGAACTGTAGACTGCTCGAATCCTCAAACGGATGGATAAGATTTCGCTTGGCGAATTGGATCGAGTGTGCCGAGGATCTCAGTTGATGGAGTTCGCTGAGGGCAATCCTGACCTTTTCTGAGGTTTGAGTTGATTTGACAAAGATCGAGACCTTCGGATCCTCGACTAACTTCGGTTCACGAGCCTGGAGGGCTCTTTTTGAGCGCGCATTCTTGGGTTTTCTGTGAAGAAGGGAGGATTTATTCAGCCATAGTTCAGTCGATTGTGATATGGTGAAGAAGGATAGACTTACACGATCCGTTGCATCTTATGGTTATCCCGCGTGTGTGAAGTAGTGGTTGTGCTGAGGGTGATAGTTGCAATTGCAGTTGGAGGCTGGCTGACCACTTATTTTTTGAAAGGGTGGCAGTGATTATGCATGCATGCATGATATTATTATGCATCGATGTCCTTCACGGCCAGTGACATGCGAGGTTGCTGTGACACCTCGTCCTCAGCCAGACCAGGGGAGTGGTTGGAATGGAATCCATTCCTCAAAAATTGGTAACAAGTACTGGTCATTCTCTATTTTGTTGTTAAACTGGTTGGACAAAGATTCAATCGGCATGTCCAGCCTGTTTGACTTGGAGGAATCCCCTCTGCCCTGGTGGAGCTTGCAGGGGCTTTTTTAAAAAAGTTTGAAATGCTTAGGTAAGCTTGTCCTCATGGGTGGGCACTGGGCACTTTCACGCTCACTCCAAGAAAATTAAATTAACTTGGTTCAGGACAACACCCCTTAAATCAACATCGACCCGGATAACAGCTAAAGGTATTTACAACTGGGTATCAAAAATATACTATTACTCGGGGTCATGAACTGATAACATATGATCCAATTTGGAAGGAATCTGATGCTGTTCGACGACCTGCGTTCCATAAGCTCAATCGACCAAGTTATCGACGTACTTGAGGCCAACAAACTTTGGGTCAGTCTCATTCGTTCCATGTTCCTTCTCCGTGGCCTTCCTCGCTTTGTTTGGACGGGGCCAAACAGGCCAAGTCACGGCGGTCTTGCAACACATCGTATCTACAAAGCTGATTTGCGTTTCACATTTGAAAAAAATAAAAATAACAGGTAGCCTGTCATCTCGTTCTCCTCAGTTTATTGACCCTCTGGGCCTTGACTTCTCGATCATCATCGATCCCAACCTCGCGGCCGTCTCGAAAATCAACAGGCAAGATGACACCGGAGACGGTCAAGCTGGATCCCCCTAAAGATACGGTCTTCACCCCACAGGAATTATCTCAATTCGACGGCTCAGATCCGTCGAAACCGATCTATGTGGCTATCAAAGGTCAAATACTTGTTTTGGATCGAATCCATCTTCTTCTCATCAGGAAACTCTCGAACTCCGGAAGATCTCAGCTGATCGAGAGCTCTGATTTCGGCCCGTTTTTTTTTCCCACTGAAAACTGACGATCAGGCATCGTATTTGATGTGTCGAACAAGCGGGAAGTCTATGGACCTGGCGGCAGCTACCATGTGTTTGCGGGCAAGGACGGGAGTAAAGGGCTCGGACAGAGCAGTCTGAAGGTCGAGGATGCGATTGCTGATTACTCTTCCCTGAGTGAAGCGGAGCTGAAAGTTCTGGATGATTGGGTTGCTTTGTGAGTTTCCGTGCTGCTGCTCGTTATTGTTTTGTTTTTTTGCCCTTCTCTTTCGGTTCCATTTCCCCCCTCCCTTGGCTACTACGACAAGATGTACCTGAAAGAACAATCCGTCTCTTCATTTTTGGGGTTTGACTCCTCACATATGAGCCGATCTGATGGATACTTATAATTTTGTCCTTTGTAGTTTCAAAAAACGATATAATATCCTTGGGAAGGTCGTGCAGAAGTAGCGCAACTACCGTATGGTAATTCGAGCGATTGTCTGGCTGCTGTATTTGAAACCGACAACCCTTTCCATCCCCTCTCGTCGACAAACAAAAAACAAAACAAAACAAGAAGTCAAAATCTAATCTGTTGTTGCGTGCGATCCCAATATATAACCACATGTAAAATCAAACCCCCCCAAACACGCTTATAACCGGCCTAGACAGATCGATCATCTTTCGGGTCGATTCTGAATGGAAGGCACTCCATAACATTCAAGATGATTCGCATATACTTGAGCAGAAATCATCCCACGTGTTTCTACCTTTTTGTATCCTGCTATCTATTAACTTGTGCTCGCTTCTTCTTGCCAGAAAGCTCTCAATAAACTCTTCTTCCCCCGCAAGACTTCTCTGATTCAAATTCGAGAATCGTGAAATGTCGGTCACACAGTTGTATGTAATCAATCAATTCGAGACTTGATCAGATCAATGCTACTTTGATCTCAGCTTGGATTTTTGAATGGAATTTGATTTGAAAGCACTTGTATGTGTTTCCTTCTTACTAGCTTCATTATCCTGAGCACCGTTTTAGTACATTTGTTTTTTTCAGGTATGTGGCATGAATAACCAAAGATCAAGCATTGACATCTCGTCTTCAAACCATGCATCGTGAACCATACTTTAGATATCTGATTTGTTGGGAGCAAGAATTAGTGGTCAGGTTGTTGATGGCTTTGGAGGAATCTAGTTGGAATTACTTTGAGTGTGTGTCGGCACACTGTTATGTAGAGAGGTTAATGATTTTGGGGGTCCTTTCAACATGGGTTAGTTATATTACTATTTGAGCAGTTGGGCCAACTGTTCTCGTCCCTTGCCATCCTACATAGTGTGTTTTGGAGATAAAACTGTGTATAAGAAAAGAAAAGAAAGACCACCCAAACAAGCCAGGGCAGAATGTTAAATTATTTATTCTATTTATGATTCCACTCTGGGAATCCCAGAGTGCAACGGACTGTCTGCTTTGATCCCAAAGAGATTTGAATCCAAACTATCCTTGCACTGTGTCGTATGGTGATGCTTTATATGAGCATATTGGTGAAGCACAAGTTAGTTTAGAGCTGGAAAGAGTGTCACTGTCAGGGAAGATGACCCCCATTTTGAGTTCGGACTCCGGACTCGCGGACACCTTTCCCTCTGCTTTTATATTTATTTTGGATGTATCATACATATTTAATATTCGGAAGGGTTGAAGTTATTTTGATGGGTAATTACTGGGGACTGGACCTTGTTGATGGTATGGCCGGAGAGATTCCGTATCACTCCACCATTGACAGCTCTCCAATCACCGCATCATCCGAGTCTTGAATGATCATCATCCGATTTGGGGAGGTCGAGGTGACTCTTATTTATTTATTTATTATTTTTTGGTTTACTTTGATGTCCCCTGTCTTTTTTTTTTTTGTTTGTATGTAGTTGATGCTCTTGTCCAAACTTGCCCATGAGTTGTAAGCTGAAAAATGACAAGTTGAACTGATGATGCTTGCAGTTGGGTGTTGTTCCCTTTTCCTCCTTTCCTTCACTCCACTAATTCAAGGAGCTCCTACACTGTGAGTCTGGGCTTTCCTTTGGATGTGTGTGTGTGTGGGTTTCCTCTCCTCTGTTCTCAAGTAAACCAACCACCAGAAGGATTCCCTCTCTTCCCCCTCAATTGTTGACTGGTCGATAGACATCCATTTCTATCACTTTCTTCCATCCTCCGAATTATATTTTTTAGCCTTCCCTATAGTATTTTATTTTTTTGGTCATACATACAACATCATATTTTGTATTTTGACATCATCCATCCACCGATTACGAGCTCGCCGCTCTTCCCCCTCAGCGTTCAACCGCACACCCAATCTCGACTTCAAAACCACTCAGCTTAATACCACCGATTCCGATTCGTAGAGCTGGTCCTACATATTTATATTCCTTGGCACTCGCCATCTTTTTCTCTTTTTCTTCTTCTGGATACATATCTATCAAGTCCTAGTGCTTTATAACTGAGCTCACCTTCCGCCCTCTTTTATAATTAGCAACCAAGTCAGTCCTCTTCAACCCTTTTAAAATATGTACATAAAATTCAATCTGGATCTCGACTGACTTAATTCAGCTCTGATACATATCTGTTCTCCCTCGCCTGCCATCTTGGACTCAGTTCAAATACGCATCAGTCTTGCCCCGTCCTAGAATCGCCAACTGTGATATCTTGGTGCCTGTTTTTTTTGTTTTTTTTTTGGTGAGCGGTGGTGGCAGATTAAAGATGCAGCCTCTTCAAGAAGACTGCTCCTCCTCAGCAGGCTCAACAGCTTCCTCCTCATCCCTTTATAACCTGGATTACCATCTTGACTCAATCAACCACCACCACCACCACCAGGACAATCAACTAGATCTTCTTGAATTTCCCTCCAGAGAGAGCACTACTACCCCTTCTATCATCAAAATCTTTCCCCCAACCATGCCATTCGACAGCCAACAAACAATCACCTTCAACAGCCCAGAATCATCCTCTGCTGTCTCCTACTCCAGCCCATCAGCCTATACCCCTTCCTCCCACTCAGTCTCATCCTTCAACTGGTTCACCGACAGTCTATCTAACCCTGATATCCTCGCCCCAACCGCACCCGATCTCACGTTCTCATTCCTCCAGTCAAACCAATTGGAGAACTCCAGTTCACAAGAGCAGCAGCAGCAGCAACAACAATAGTAACAACCATCCATCCTCAAAGACTGATGATGATCATGAGAAGCACTTGGCGCGCGTTGCTCGAGACGCCACACCCACTCAAAGACCTCGCCCAGAGATGTCCTAATACTTCATTGACTGAAGAGGAAGAGGAAGATGAAAGAGGACTATCATGATCGCAAGGAGAAAGAGCGATGCTTCTCGACTCCGCCGACCAGTCTATTGAAGTCAAGGACTCAGACCGTCACGGACACCACGCCAGACCAGCGGGCCCAGAAGAAGCAATCATCACGACCGGTCTCACACATGGGCATCCACACGCCCGGGTCACGGACGATGTTTTCGACGGGGAGCGAGCGATTGAAGCCCAAGAAGCCGTTCGGGTTCATCCTCGGCAATGGCCGGCTCCGGAGCGCGACGACCTGTCTGGAGAGCCAGCTGGACGACGTCCTCAGCCAACGCTCCAGCTCGGCCTTCGCCGAGCACGACTATCCGGCCACCACGGTCTACCGACGACTGCCTCCCCAGTCCGAGCCCGCCGCTCGAACCGGCAGCGGGGGACACTACCTCAAAGCGAGGAACAGGTTCAGCGCGCTTCCTCTCCTTCCTTCCCTCCGACTCCGACACAGATACCCCGGAGGCCTTCCGTCCACTTCCAAACCGTCCCCCATTCACAATCAACACCAGGGACCCACACAGCTAGCAGCAGACTCAGGCGCGCCCTACTAAACCCTCAGCCAACAGACGCTCCTCTATCAACCTCCTCGACAGAGCCACCCTCTCCTTCTCCTCCAGCTCCTTCCGCTCCTTCAACTCCTCAATCACCGATAATAACACGCTCCCTTCTCCGTACGTCCTGTCGCCCCCCAACAGCGCTAAATCTACCTCGGATTCCCATTACCACCACTATCACCATCATCACCATCAACTTTCTTCAGCTACTATGCCCACTACTACAATGGCTGCCGCTAAATCTCCCCCCATCAAATCTTCCCGCTCGTTTCTTAACTTACTCTCGTCTAAACTCAAGTGATCGTTTGCATCCTCCTTCTCTCTTTGATCTCTTCTGTCTTATCTTTTTTTTCTCCTTTTCTATTTATCCTAGTTTCTTGATGGAACTCGATCTCGACTGGTTTTGCTGCTTCTCTCTCTCTTCATCTTTTGCCTTTTTCTTTCGTTTTCCTATCTTATCTTATCTTATCTTATCTTCCCTCAATCTTTTTTGTATTGTCCATCACACTTGCACATGAGTAAAACTGACATTCAAATCCAAAAAAAAAACACTTCTTTTGAATCTTTTTTCTTAAGTGGCCAATGTGTATCCACGCTTTTCTTCAAGTTATTCATTTCTGTATCGTTGTTTGCTGACGTTTGATGGGTTTGAAGTCTTTTGAATCTTCTCGACAAGAAAAGATAGCCAAAAAAAAAAAAGAAACAGACTTGAGCTGTTTGAGTAAATCACACCGGCTCGATCAAGATTTCCCACCATTTTGCAAGAAGGGGAAATGCATACGCAGCAAAAAAAATAAGAACATGCCTATGCAACACAAGTTATTCTTTCACCTACGAGCAGCACTCTCGAGAGAATGGGATGAAGCATTGAAGTTGATAAGAAGTATATTGATTTACTTTGGTGTACAAATGGTAAGACAAAGATCGGGATATATAACTAATATCTGCTTTCGTTCGATGCATAGCTTGGATCATCATCTTCTTCAAGCGGCCTCAAGCTAATTAACAAAGATTCCAGCAATCGAAATGATGGTGTAGAATGAGAACACAAAACAAAAACAGAGATTCAGTTAGACAGTTTTGTTGAGAAGGATTGGTCGCTTCCAAAAGGACCACTCAACTTGTTCGAGAATCTTCTTGGCTTGTTCTTGGTTCGAAGACTTCTCCAACTTGGACTTCAATAACTGAGACCGTCGAGCAAGTACATGATCAAAAAACAAAAACAAAAAGTTAGCAAGTGATAAACGTGATGTGGCTAGGTTTTCTGACCAGAGTGGAAACATACCTCAACATATTTGGTCTTGGCCTCTTCTGATTTCATGCCTTCTTTCGCCTTCCACGCATCCTACACATAGAAGAAAACAAATAAACCGACGATGGACCGCTGGCTTGATGAGCGCTTTTCATCCATCTGGAGAACCGTATCCAAAGTGAGGAAAGAAACGCTAGTGCGAACCCATTTGTATTTTCCAGTGAAGTCCATCATGCCCGGTCTGGATGAATTGACGTCGCCGACGGTGGCTAAAAGAAGAGAGAGCACGGCCAAGTCAGTGGCGATCGAGACGAGAACCATGGCTGGGTAAAGAAAGATCGTGAGAGAGAGGATGGGATGCATGCCTTGTTTGAACAAGGCGTAGAATTCGAGCTGTTCTTCTTGGCTCGGCTTGTCGTCTCCATCGCTGGGAAGACTCTTGACAAGCTCAGTGGCCTGGATCAACGATCACCAATCATTGTATGAAACAAAAAAAAGGTCGATCTTGTGTGAGCTCGTGGGTCTGGTTGTATGTATGTATCTTCGTTCGGGCCACACTCACCCGGTCGAATTTCTTGTCGATTTCAGACATCTTTCTTGGAGCTGATTCCCAATTAATAAGAACCAAGCAGTTAGTATCTGTCGTAAAGAAGTAGATTGTGTTTTTTTTTGGAAGTAGAATGGTGAAAGAGACCAACAAAGATATTTATGTGTTGATGATTGGAAGTGTTTTCGATCGATCTGTGTGGAATCAATTAGCTGGTTTAATGTATGTAGTGTGGTGGAGTGTCTTGAGAGGTGGAAAAACTGACGGTTCGGTTGGTCCGGGAATGTCGGCGAAGATGATGATTTGAGGGGACAGAACAGGTTGGGGAAACCCAATCTGAAGGTGATCGGCACAGATGTGTAGCTTGCAGGGATGTCACCAGGAGTTCAGGAGTCCGATCTCGATGACATGTCTGTCTTTGAACACACACAACTTTCATAAACTTCAGCAGACGAAATTGTCTGGAACATGCAACTGCTTGGAGCTCATACCAAGCTGCTTCCTCTGGACATGTCCTCCGAAATGTAAAAAATTCACTGCATACAGATCTTGTATAACCTCTTCATCAACTATGGAGCCAACACTCACAAGCTGAATGTGGAACAAAAAACATCCAGTTGTAAACTGCGCTTTGACAGACCATTCCATCATGGTGAAGACTCAGGAGCTCTAAGTCTGATTTTTGGAGGTGGGTAGAACCCTATAGGCAAGAGTCCATCCTGTGAGCATGGCTCAAATTCTGAATCAATCTTTTAAGTTGAGACTTGCTCATAATTATGTAGTTGAGATGGACCTGATTGAAATCTATCTTCCACATTCACAATTGGATGAATCCCTTTGAGAATCTGGGGACCCTTGAGAATCCTTGATTGCTTGAGTTTCCTTCAAAATCACATACTGTGGAAATCTGCAATGGCTGATCATGAAGAACTGGTTAATGGGTCTTGAAATAGACAAATTATATCACTGTTCAGACACTAAATGGCCACCATATATAAGTAGAAATGGCCACCATATATAAGTAGAAATGACCACCATATATAAGTAGAAATGACCACCATATATAAGTACATAGAAATGACCACCATATATAAGTAGACCCTCTTTTTCTGTGCTAACAATGCAGTGCTAGCAGGATTACATATCTGTGAGCTTTGCTACATTAAACCTCTTTCAGCCATGCTTTTCACTAGATAGAAGGATCACAGAGGAAAGAAAGTTTTTTTTTTCTGGAACAAACATTTATGTACCTTTGATGAAACAAACCACTTTTCAAAGGTTAAACCACTAAATGCAAGTGGTTTTTCATTATAATGCATTGGCCAACACAGCTAAATGTGAGCTTATCTGGGCCAGTGGTCAGTCCATGACATCTGTGTATCCATCAATATACTGTCAGCCACAGGGCACCTTTCACAGTACGTGAAATGTACCTAGTAACTGCAAATAATAATAACTAATTGAATACTGGAAAATATTAACTGTGAAATCCCCTTGAGTATTGTACATATAATATCACTAGGATTTCACAGAAATATCATTAGAATAAGGTATTAAAACAATGTTTATTCTTATACATTATGTAGGGCCTTAATAAAAAAACCCGCATTTTCCGCGTTTTGATGTGCTTTTGCTGCGGCACAGCACACGCGCAATCCGTGTTTAAACGCGCTTTTTTAATTAATTTATTTTTGCCATTAATTTCGAGTTTTTTTGATTTTTTAAAGTTGTTTCCTACACTTTAAAAGGTGTAGAATTTAATGGTAAAAACCATTTTCCTTAAAAATGAATTTTGATTATTAATTATTTTTTTTTTTCACACATTTTTCAATTAATTGTTTGCTTTAAGTTTTTTACCTCATTTTTCAAGATATTGTGTAACTTTAAAGTTTTTTCCTACATTATTAAGTGTGTAGAAATTTCTGGTCAAATCCAATTTTCATAAAAATGAATGGATCATTTTTAATAATGCAATTACACCCATTTTTTCACTTAAATTTTTAGAGCTCAATTTTCATTCTTTTTTCACATTTTAAACTTTTTTCCTACACTTTCAAACATGTATAAATTTATGGTAAAAATTATTTTCAATCAAAGTGAGAACTACATCTTGTATACTGCATTTGACACCGTTTTGTTTTATTTAATTCTTTACTTTTTCACTCAATTGTTTGCATTAATTTTTTTACCTTTCTTTTCTGCTTTTTTGAAATTTGAAGGTTGTTTCCTACGTTTCAAAGTGTTTAGAATTTACTGGTAACATTCAATTTCCATAAAACTCAACGGTTCATTCCGAATACTGTAATCAGCCTTAAAATTCAATTGATTTTTAAGAGCTTAATTTTCATGATTTTTTGACATTTTAAATCTGTTTCCTACCTTTTCAGACATGCATAGAATTATGGCATAAATCAATTTGCATCAAAATGAAAAATGTACCTTGAATAAAGCCTTTGACATGTTTCTTTAATTAATTCTTACACACTTAATTATCCTTATTTTATGGAATTTTAAGTTCATTTCCTACACTTTGAAAGTTCTTAAAATTGTTGGCTGTATCCATTATGCATTCAAATAAATTTTGTATACAGTACGTCAAATTATGCAAGAAATGGTGTACACTCTTATATTAAGATTGAAGCTTTTCTTTTTAGGCAAAATGAATTCTACCATTAAATTCTACACACTTTTAGATGTAGGAAATAGATTTAAAATTTCAAAAAATGATTAACATTGAGCCGGTAAAAATTAATTAAAAAAAAACATGAAAAAAACCTGTTTCACGCAGTATTCATTACAAATCTTTGGTTGTTATGCAAAAATATTTTTACCATCATTTTAACCATGTCTTGAAGTGTGGGAAATAAATTTAAAAAGTTAAAAAAGAATGAAAATTAAGCTGTAAAAATTTAAGTGAAAAAAGTGTCTAATTTCAGTATTCAAAGTGAACCGTTGAGTTTTAAAAAATTTGGATTGCGCCATTGAATTCTGCATGTTTTAAAACCTAGGAAATAATTTTAAAACCTCAAAAAAACTTAAAAAATAAAGTACATACATGCATGCAAACAATTAATTGAAAAATGAGTGAAAAAAAAATAATTAATAATCAAAATTCATTTTTAAGGAAAATGGTTTTTACCATTAAATTCTACACCTTTTAAAGTGTAGGAAACAACTTTAAAAAATCAAAAAAACTCGAAATTAATGGCAAAAATAAATTAATTAAAAAAGCCCGTTTAAACACGGATTGCGCGTGTGCTGTGCCGCAGCAAAAGCGTGTCAAAACGCGGAAAATGCGGGGTTTTTTATTAAGGCCCATTATGTACATATTTTATAAGCCATAAATAATTACATATGTATAAAGAATCAGCTAGTAGAAGTGTGAAATGGATGAGGAATAAGCTATATAGATTTATCTGAAGCTTACCCATCCTTGATCACATCATCAGGGCATCAGATTGCATCATAACCCTCTTGGATGGCGTCATCAGGACCCTTTTGTGCTCTAATTCAAAGCTTGCATAATCTAAAGTAGCCTACACGGGAAAGGAGCCCAAATTCTACATGCAAGACTGAATTATGCATGAAGGACATGCCTTTCTCATGATCACAAGCTTGCATAAGCAGAGTTACACATATGCAACCAACTCTACAATTGCACAGCCCCTGCACAGTAACTTTGGCCTTTTCAATTACGTGAGAAATAGGCCACAAAACTCAATTATGCATGTATGATCTCATGTCCTAGGAACTTCCACCCATGCATAGCACTGCACAGCTGCAGCTCCCATACTTACACGAAATTGTAGAGCTGCTAAGAAGCCCCCTAGTGCCCTGAGGGCCTCTCCTCTTCCCCTGAGCCCCCTGTAGAATATTTAAGGAGCTCAGATTCCTACCTTTTCCCCCCAGGAAATTCTAGTAGCATCAAACCAACACTTGTACCGTGATTATTAGTGATTCAAACCACCAATAACATTACAACTCAGCTACCTTAGACCTAAATAGATTTACTTTGCTCAGATTCAAGGCATTTCTACTTATCTCTATTGCATAAAGAATTATCCCCCTGGTTAAACAATTCTGGTCCTTAAGTGTACATACACTTATTCATCTGGATTGTTGTTAAAAGACTTGATCCCAAGTGAGTAGAATAATTCCTCACATTGGAAGCCTATTAATCCACGTAACAGGATTGATCTGGATGCCCAATTGAATAATTGGATGAGTCAGCAGTAGAAGTACCATTCCTCACTGACTCCTCCCTGTTTCTTCTACAGGTTGAGGGATTTTTTTACCACGAATAAACCTTACTTTTAACCTCTTGTTAACATTCATAGCACAACCCACTCAGGTTAGTAGCATAGAGGCTGACATGCACCACCTGACCAAATCTCATGACTTCAAGTTTGTGTTTCAGAGCTCTGGAATCCAAAAACGGCAGACAATTTTTGCTGTCTACCCACTGTACAGTGGGTGGACCATTGTTTTTGGCCGCTTGTTTTGGATCACAGAGCTTCAAAGCACCAGATTCAAGTCATGAGACTTGGTCAAGTGGTGCAGAATAGGTCACAAAAACTGAATATGAAAACATAAAAACAAAAAACAAAGTTTCAAATTTTGTGAAAAATAAAAAATAAAATTGATTTTTTTCAAAAGCTTTGATATTCATTTTGGGGAAGTGTGAGTGCAGAGAGAAAGAAAGAATGGAATGTGGGAAGAATGATTATAAACAAAAATTTTGGAAAAAGTGGTTACCAGATAGTTTTAACCAGTTGTTGAGTGGGGCATTCACCAGCTCACATTGCAGTAAAGCACTAGAATTTACTGTTTTGACTCCAATCTGGACAACCAACCTGGCTCAACCTTTTTTGGTTCCAATTTTTTTTTCATTTATAATCATTCTTGACATGTTCCACTCTTTGTTTCTCTCAGCACTCCCACTCCCCCAAAATGAATAACCAAGCTTTTGGAAAAAACAACATTTTTTTATTTTTCACAAAATTTAAAACTTTGTTTTTTGTTTTTATTTTTTAATATTCATTTTCTGGGACCTATTCTGCACCACTTCACCAAGTCTTGTGACTCAAAGTTTGTGCTTTGAAGCTGTAGAATCCAAAACAAGCAGCCAAAAATAACAATCCAGTCACTGTACATCCAAAAAAAAAAAATTAAAA